ATGCATACTAAAAAAATTATAAATACTGCAACATATGAAATATTGGGCTTGGAGCACTTTTCTTTGAACAATCTTCAGTTTAGGTTCAAAACTGGTCACCCTTTGGTGCAGATGAAGGAGAAACTCACACACAAGGGATCAGCACTGGTGGAGGAGGCAGAACACCCCAGCAGGGTATCCTTGTCATGGTCCTGTTATACATTCTAACAGGCCTTCTGTAGGCCCAAAGTCTAGAAGTTAAAACATGTCTTGAAAAGAATTATTTTAGTTCTATAACTAGAGCTCAATAAAGCTATACCTGAGCCTATAAAATATTGCTTGCATGGCATCAAGTCATTTATAATGTATTATTATTTTTGAAGTTTCACTAGATAGCTTAAAAGTAACAGTTACTTTTTGGGGGCATCTACACATTAAGGTACAGCTGCTGCATGTGTAGGATTTCACCTGTTTCTACAAGGTGATTATTCCAAAGTTTCAGATGAGGAAACCAAGGCTGAGCAGGGTTTAATAATATACCCAGCAAACAGACAAGAGATGGGCTTTGAACTCAAGTCACTTATTGAGGTCAGAGCATGTCCTCTTTGGCTCCAAAGGGTTAAAATGTTTAAAAATTATCATTTTGTTCTGAGTGTCTTCAAATGGAACAATTATGCCATCCTTTATAGTTCTCATCACTGCCTGTTGTACCTGATTCACACATGGAGTACCTTCCTAGCACACTACAGGCACTTGAGTTTTCGGTCTCTGATGTTGGCCTGAATTCTCCACACTATCGGCTGTTTCTGCAAAGAGGCAGCAAGATAGGCCTTCCATGAATATGTGGGGGGGAGTCTATGGGAGTTGTATTAGGTTTCACCTTTCTAAGTGAGATTTTTAAGGAGTGTGCCAAAAAGAAATGAGTGTTGTTAGGAGAGGGGAAGTAAGCTTTCCTTGTGTGGAGAGAACAGGAGAATGGAGAAGGTGAGAGCTGGAAGTAAAACTCTGGGATAAGTGATGATTTACACGGAGTTTAAGAAATATTATGCTGTGTAACATGCAGTTTAATTCCTCTCCCATCTCACCAAGATATGTTCAGTAAGGATACCATTGTTGAAATATCCACCCCCGCCCCTCAGAAAATACAGGGGCTTCAAGGAGAAAGCAAGTCACCCACAAGGTCTGGTCAGCTTCTGCAACAGAAAAAGTGGGGACTTTGCAATCAGATGATACTAAGTCTTCCAAAGAGCTCTTTTCCTCAATCTCATTCTCCTTTTTTATAAAATGGAAAAACAGTATCTTCTTCACAAGATTATTGTGAAAATTGAGCAACACCCATAAGTGGCATGGGAAAGAACTCAGCACACTCTAGGCCAAATTCATTCCCTTCCCATTATATTGAACCAAAGTGATCTTTATAATTCCCATGAATTCATTCTACCAATTCAGAGTAGAATTAGTCTACTCTGCCAAATATGAACAGATTCTGCCAATTAGAGAGCTCTAATTTATCTAGATTTTTTTAAGAAGAGAAAAAGCATATTAACATTTCTGTATTTGATTGCTCTCAAGTTTAACATGACTTCATTTTTCAATTATTGCTTTTACTTCACTCTTAAAAAGGAAGCAATCAAAATTAACAGTGAATCTTAAGTACTGAACAAATTCCTCAAATATTTAAAGAATAAATGACATAACTGACCATAGCAGCTTTTCTATAGGCAAAGGATCTAATTTGGTGATTAATTAATCTACTGAGCATTCACTAGGTGTCAGGGATATACCCATTCTTCTGTTATATTTGGGTAGTTTTAGTTAGAAATAACTGAATACAAAAATAAAAGCAGCTTAAACAATAGGGAACATTTATTATCTACTCCTAAAAATAAGTCCCAAAGGTAGGCAATTGCAGGATGACTCAACAATGTGAAGGACCCAGCCTTCCTGCCACCATCCCCCTTCTTCACACAACAACTGCTCTTTGTAAGTTGACCCAGAAGTTCCAGGCTCACATACAGACATAACAAAAAAATGGCCGAAGAAAGCATTTTCTCTCCTGTGTCTCTTTTTTGTTAGGGAGGAAAACTTTTGCCAGACTCATCCCCCACTCCCTAAGATTTTTCCTTAGGTACCTTTGGCCAGAATTGCATCATATGCTTTGAGCCACTGCTTTCCTACTTTTTACATCATGACACAAATAGAAAGGTGTTTTTATGACACAGAGGGGCAGCAAGATGAGGTCACTTATGGCCAGATGGGACCATTTCAGGACTTCAGCTGCGTCTCACTCAAATGTCCCAAGGGTTTAAGGGCTCAATACCATGCCATCTCTATCATGCATTTAAGACATACCAGTGTGTGCTGGTACAAAGATTGGGTAACTGCTCTGGGCTACAAGGGAGACTGAGAGAGCAGGTTTCCTTATGCAAACTTGAGTGAGAAAAGGGTCTACCAGTGAGAAGGAAGGTGTATATGGTGGTGAAAGATACCTCATCTATTCCGATTCTCAAAATACATACTAAGAGGAAATATTTTGTGGAGAATGAAACTGAGGTTTTTATTTAAGTGACTTGATTAAGGTCACAGAGCTTGTAAGTGGCTCAGCTGGTATAGTAGATTCAGATCTGGTGGTGTGCTGGTAATTGTTTAACAGGCAGCTCTCCAAGTGTAGTTCTGACACTTATGTTAGTTAATATTTTCATGTAAAATAAAAGTGATGAATATGTACAGGAAAACTTATTTGTTATTGATGTGACATCTTAGCACAAAATGGTTAATGTTCTTCACCTTGTAACAGCAATAGATAGAAGTTTAACCTCAAGCATAAATAATAGTAAAATATGTTAAAATAATTTAGAAGTAATAAATGTCTAGGATACATTACCTCTGAAATTTATTTAATTGGAAGCTTATATGATCTAATTTTTTAATAATGGCTGTATTTAACAACAGTAGCCAAAATTCCTGAAAATATAAGACTGCTCTCATAAACTAATATAAGCCAGCTCCACACAACTACTGTTGACTCTTAAATCCATTCTTTTTCCACTCCTGACTCTCCTCGCTGCCTCTCTTGCAGGCATGTAAAAAGCTAGTCGGATCTGTAGGATACAGGGAACAACATGGATATGTCTTTCAGTGACCCTGAATAATTGTCCTGAATAATAGCTAATTGCCCCTAAGCTAATTTTGTTGGGGGGTATACCCCCCCAACTCAATCCTACTACCTCCCTTCCCCCCACCCACCATATCCGGTAATGGAAACCTTAGCTATTTAAAGAATGGTCACATAAAGAAATGGATTACAGAATCTTGTCCTCTGTGACATCACTGGGTGACCCCGTAAGGGTGGGGCAAAGTAGAGTCAGCACTTTGCCACAGTGGCTCCTCTTGGACTCTGATATCAATGTGGGTTATAGAACAACCGAGACCAAGCCTTGGAGAGTCTTTAGGATAGGCCCTTGCCTTAACAAAACTGTATATAAACTACACCCCTGCAGCATTAGAGTGGATCTTGTCAGACAAGTTCATCTCTTCAACAGATAGTTTCTCTGTGCCAGACACTGGGGTAGATGCTGGTGGTAAATAAGGAAATCTATGGGCAAAGTCCCCAACCCCCAAGTAACTGACATTATAATGAGGGAGATTGGCAAAGACATAAACAAACAAGGAGATTGCAGATTGTGATCAGTGCTATGATGGAAATGAATAGGGAAATAAATTGGGAGATGAGTTTAAACAGGTGTTCAGAGATTTTTTTGAAGCTGAATAATAGCTCTCTGTCCAGTTTCTGTAAAGAATGAGATTAATAGTCCTTGCTCTGCTACCCACAAGGGTAGTTGTGAGGATTAAATTGGTGGCTCTAAGTGATAGTGCTTTGTAAACTGCAGAGTCAGATACAGATAAAAGCCTTTATTGTGACGGTCATTTCATCACTATTTTTCAACCAGGCCACCATTGTTAAGGATGCAAAATGTGTTGTAGCTTTCAGGAGTATGGTGTTAAGATCTTCTGCAATGCTCGACAGACAGTAAATACTCAGAAAATTGTTTCCAAGAAGTTTATTAAAATTTTTGCTAGTCTTTACTCATAAAAAGAAAAAGGCTATCTAAAAAATGACTATCTATATTGGGAGAAAAAGTATTTTTTTCATTTCTAGCTGCTATTGGGTTATCAAAAGGAACTTCTTCCTAGGATTATGGAATGCTTCTCAATGTCAAAACTTTAATATTCTTTGATTTTTCAAACTGCTTTGCTATTTGAGTAAGATCAATTTACTAAATTATTTTGTGTTGCGTATACCCTTCTGCTCAAGATGGTTTCCTAATTGTAAAGTAAACCAGATATCCTAGGTTGACGTTATATTTCCCTTAAGCTTGCTGAATATTTTAATCTCTAGATAGATCTTTTCTGCCAAATTTTTTTTTCACATCAAGCCCTCTGCCCATGCTGATCCCTCTGCATAGAAAGCTCTCTTTTGAGTCTTTGCAAGACTGATTCCTTCTCAAGCATCAGCTCAAACATTACCTTCTTCAAAAAAATCTCTGAACACCTGTTTAAACTCATCTCCCAATTTATTTCCCTATTCATTTCCATCATAGCACTGATCACAATCTGCAATCTCCTTGTTTGTTTATGTCTTTGCCAATCTCCCTCATTATAATGTCAGTTACTTGGGGGTTGGGGACTTTGCCCATAGATTTCCTTATTTACCACCAGCATCTACCCCAGTGTCTGGCACAGAGAAACTATCTGTTGAAGAGATGAACTTGTCTGACAAGATCCACTCTAATGCTGCAGGGGTGTAGTTTATATACAGTTTTGTTAAGGCAAGGGCCTATCCTAAAGACTCTCCAAGGCTTGGTCTCGGTTGTTCTATAACCCACATTGATATCAGAGTCCAAGAGGAGCCACTGTGGCAAAGTGCTGACTCTACTTTGCCCCATCCTTACGGGGTCACCCAGTGATGTCACAGAGGACAAGATTCTGTAATCCATTTCTTTATGTGACCATTCTTTAAATAGCTAAGGTTTCCATTACCGGATATGGTGGGTGGGGGGAAGGGAGGTAGTAGGATTGAGTTGGGGGGGTATACCCCCCAACAAAATTAGCTTAGGGGCATTATATATTCATACTCAACAGAAGCAACTAGCAGTTGCTGTAATTTGGTCTAAGCTAAGGAAAAGACAAGAAAAATGGGGAAAAGAAGGATAAAGGAGACAAAAAGAAAACAGAAGAAAGGGAGAAGAGTGATTCAAAAAGCAAAAGAGAGAAGAGGAGGACACAGGAGGATGATATTTGTGAGAAAAAATCATGAAACAGGTAGTGAAGGAGGAGGAGGAAGAGTTGAACCTATTTTCTACTTGACTTTGTAACTCTTGGGTAGTGACTGGCTTCAGTGTGAAAGGATGAATGGTGCAGGTGAGAGAATCCTGAGGTATTCCTGCTGAAGGGGTCACTTAAATTGCTGGGATTTATTTTGAGATGCCTAAGCAAGGCTGCCATGAGGCTGCTTCTCGTGGATGGATTCACAACAGTTATTTGGAAATAAGAAATGTAAAATTTTTCTTTCAGTCATGATTGCGGAGGAAAAGAGGAGAGAGTATTGTTGACCTGATTAAGTTTTAGACTCTTTACTACAGCCCCTGTCATCACATCACGCCTCCTAATTTTTAGATAGATAGCCTGCCTAATTCAGGACCCAAAAGCTAATCTTTCAGAAAAATTCTTCCTCTTTGGTAACTGAAAGATATACAGATCTCCAAAGCATAAAAGGTTAGTTTTATACCTATAAAATTACTAAAACACAGTTAGCAGGATAAATTCCCACTAATGTTTCACAAAAACTTACTATGAACATTCCAAATATGTGTAGAGGTCCAAACAAAGCCCTGTAGTTCAAAAGGGAAAATTCTTTTAACCCTCTTTTTTCAATGTCCTTCTCCCCACCTCCTAATTATTTAAGTTTTTTTCCAGTTGGTATAAATTTTTGCAGAGGATTTAGTATGCTATTTGGAGAATTAATAATTAGCAAAATAATAAGATATTATAATACCAAGCATATTTTTCAGACAATATTAAGGTATCTTTGTTCTAAATTTTAAAATATTAATCTTATAACCTACAAGTTTCCTAGTTCAAGCCAATATGTCCCTGTGAGTTGTAGCCAGTCTTAGGAACGTGTGATTTTATCAGCAGTTCATGGTACATTAGACAGACTCCTTAAAATTCTCTTTATACTCACGTTTTCTATTTTTCCATCTCTTCTTATACAGCTGACCCCAATTCTGGGTCATCTGTGTAGAGCAGAGTGAAGAAAGACATGAAGGCCTAAAGGAGGGAAGCAAAAAGATGAATAAGACTTTGCAGTTCTCTGTGGTTCCCTACCATTGGTGACCCAGGTTCTGCCTTATGAGTAAGAAAATTTGTTTCCTAAAGGCACTCCAAATAGTGGTTATCACATGGGCTTTTCTATTTCAGAATAGCATTGAGTCTACTAGCATGATAATCATGCTATTACTTTTCTGCAGTACTAAGGATTCCCAAAAGGCAGCATTTCAATGATCTTCAATCTAATTTTCCTTTTTTTGTTGTTGGCATTTGTGGAGAAGTAATTAGAAAATGTGTCCTCAGATGATACTGGGACCAAAGGCATAAGTGAATTTTATTTTTACTTTGTATACCTGGCAATAATCTCTCTTCATCTTACTCTAAGAAATTCTAACCCCAAAGATTTTGGGTAGTGATTTGGGATTCCTTGAAGATCTGGCCGGTCAGTGACCATTTGGTGATATCATTTGATCCTGTTAAGATCAATGTGAAAGGAATAGAACCTTCCCAAAATTTCATGTTGGAAAAAACGTGGGACATGACTTTTACAACTTTAAAAAGCAGTTAAATGTTTGCCAAATGAAAAGAAAACAAAATAAACACATTGCTTTTTATCTAAGAGTTAGGGTAACAAAATGGTTTCAGGAGATGCAAAGTAGCAGGGCTTAAACTGCTACAGTAAGCACCTGATATAAAAATGGAGAGGCCTCATCACAAATTCAGCTTTTTTTTTTTCTGCCAGAACACAATTTGGTTAATATTTTCAGGTGTCCTTTTTAAAGTACCTGCCTCCTACAATGCTATATTTGTTTTTTCTTTGTACACACCTGAACATCTTTTTAAAACACATAGTTTTCTTTAAAACTTCTGTTTCTGAGAATGTGGTGTAGGTCAAATTCATGAATAGGTTAAGCCTCTGTCAAGAAAGGGAAAGGCACCCCAGCCAATGGGAAACCTTGTTGGTGATGTACTGTTCTCCAGTTCTGATTCATTGGCCGCCTCGGGTTTGTCATTCTATACCCAGCGTCTGCAAACAGCGTGGGTCGGGTTTTCCGTAGTCTAGCTAGCTAAACTGGATTTTGGCCTCTTGCACGTGCAGTTTCAATTAGGTTTAGCAGATCTCTAACTCTTAATAGAAGCCACTGTTACATTTCTGATTTTTAAAAAAAGCCTCATTCTTTTAACCGTACTGGAGGTCGTTGGCGGTCTCGTGAGACAGAATTACGTGACAGTCTAACAAGTGCATATAAATAATACAATGTGGAATTCCGTGAGCCACAGAGGGAAAACCTGCCAGAAACTTAGAGCATGTGCTCTGTGCGTGTGTAAGTTGCACTCACATGTGGATGGCTGGGAGTTGTGTGTACTGCCCTTCGAGACGTGAGGTGTGTGTGGCCCGGGCACCTGTGTGGGCCTGCTGGGGTCACTGGAGGGTGGTTCCGAAGCCTGGAGCCCTTAGGAGGGGGTCTCGCGGCGGCCTGGGACCAAGCAAGCTCTCGTTGCAATTGCAGTAGCCAGGCTACCGGGGCGCCTGAGTGGAGTACAAAGCCTGGGGTCGATCCTCCGGGCTCTACACACAGCGTCTTCGCAGCGCGGGTGCGTGTGTGCACACAGGTGGAAGCGCCCAGCAGAGGCGCGGACGCCCTAGGGAAGCTTCCAGTCCCGGCTTGGCACACTGCCGGCTCGGAGGGGCTCTCGATTCCCACGGTCTCGCAGTTGCACACTCTCCAGTCCAGGCGTCGGGTCATGAAGGCCCGGGGCCGCAGTTCCGACTTGCATTCGGAAGCTCCCTTTGGCCTTGGCCTAGGGTCCGCGCGGCGAGGCGACTGCGGCGAGAAAAGCTGGGCAGGGCAATGACGTTATCTGCGGCCGCCGCTCCCCCGCCCACCAGTCCTCCCTGCAGTTCCTGCTCTGCGACATCCGGGTCTCTCCAGCTGCTTCGCCGCGCCGCAGCTGTAGCGGCGGCTGAGCAAGCGGGGCGGGGCGGGCGGACGAGTGGGGGAGGGGGTGGCCCAGTCCTGTCGTGAGCGCGCCTGCGCGGGGACGCGCTCAAGGCGGCGGCGGCGCTGGGGGCGGGAGCGCGCGCGGGAGCGAGGGAGCTGTGGTCTCGGCGCCGGCCCGGCCCGCAGCTTTGGGTGCTCGGGCGGCTGCAGTTCGGGAACGGGTGGCTGGGGAGGGGGGAGGGGGGGCGCCAAGGAAGTGGGGCGCGGAAGCGATGAATCTTCGGTTCTTCCTCCTCCTCCTCCGGGACCCGCTCTCCGCCTCCCGCTCCAACGCCCGGATGATCTGAGCTGCGAGGGCGCAGCGAGCCGGGGGCCCGGACGCAGCCCGGCTCCTCCCCGCCTCCGCCCCCTCCCCGGCCTGACCCGGTCGGCCGCCGCCGCGGTGACCCCCTCCCCGCCCCCCCCGGCCGCCGTCGCCGCCGCCGCCTCGGCCGACCAGGGACCTGCCCGCCCGCGGCTGCTCGGGGTAAGCGCGACGCTCGGGCCGAGGGCGGGCGGGCGGCGCGGGCCTGCGCGACGGCGGCGGCGGCCTGGCCTGGGGCCTGGGGCCTGTAAACAAGCCGGGCGTCTGCCCGGGCGCTCCCGGGAGGAGACGCGACAACTCCACCCCCTGGCCCGGCCTCCTCCCGGGAGCCGGCGGCGGGCGGCGAGGGGTTAACGCTCGCCGAGGGCGGCGGCGGGAGGCGGAGGCGGGGTGTTGGTGGCGGCGGCGCGGGGAGGGGGCGCGACTCCCGGGCCGGGGCGGCCGGGCCGGGTGTTAGCGGCGGCGACGCCGGCCACGGCCAAGGGCCGGCCTGGCCCGAGATCGGCCGGTGGAACTTTTCCCGAGAGGGGAGGGGGCCATGCCGCCCCCACCCGCGGGGCCGCGCCGCCCGGGGCGCACAACCCTGGGGGGGGGGGCGGGAGAAAGAAGGGGGGGCTGGCTTTGAACCCCACTTAGCCTTTCAGCTCCAGGTTCTGGGGAATTTGCTTCGGGTTTTATAGGGGCAGAGCTGAGAGTGAGGCTCCTTCAGCATTCAAGTCGTGATGTTTCCAGTTCATTCATTATTAAGCCATCGAACACATCGTGGAAGTAAATTACACTGATTTCTTCTCGTCTTTTTAACCGTTGTACGTTGGTGTGAAAGTTGGTGATGTTGCAGTTAGGTTGAGGTCTGGCTCTGTTCTGCCTAGAGATCTTAAATATTTTCTTGAAAGACAGCTGGCTGTCGGCGAGCCGCCTACCAACCGCAGTTTTAGATAATGTGTTGAAAATTAAATCTCGTGAGGTATTTTCCCTCCTTACTTCTCAAGCACCGCATGGTCCTTAGAAATCCACAAAGGTTACATTAATTGTCCAAGTCAAGAAATCTGGACCGCCCTCCTTACCCCCTCCCCAAGTTTTCTGCTAATTGGAATGGTGACTAGAATGCACTTCCAGGAGTGATGGGTAGAGTATGGGGGGTGTAAAAATCTGTGGGAGATAAAGTATTTTCCCAGAGTCAAGGTTTCTGACATTATTGAGAGAAATTAGACATGTAAAAAATATTCTTAGAAAAAAGGCTTAATCTTTTCAAACTTTCACTTTGGAATTTTAAACAATCATTTTCTTTGCATTTAAAGAGCTCGGAAGAGGCAGGGGACTTATTTAATGAAAGAGTATCTGCTGAGGGTTCCAGAGTGCTCAGGAGTCTAGCCGGGATTGGTCTTGCAACTCCTTTTTAACTGAAACAATTTCACTTTTATACTTTGTACATGTTGGATCTATTCCAAAGATTAAATTTCTGTTACACTTTTACAGATTAAAAAACTTGACTGGGGAAATAGTGACCCATCTTACCCGCAATTTTCTAATCGTGGAGTTTACTTTCATTGATACAGTGTTTCCTTCGTCAATAATTTCAGGCACAAAGTAGCATACTTTGCTTGATGTTACAGTTCTGTTCTTATAGGTAACTCACATATATGATTAAACATTTAACCATATAGGTATGTTTTCTTTTAACTTACAAGTTAGAGCAATACCACGTTATTGAAACTAATGAACTGTGGTGTGGAAGTTGCTTGATAGTCTTTATTCAATGTCAGTAAACGTTTATCACATTAGTGACGTAATTATGTGAAAGGTATGGTAATACTGGTAAAGTTTGACTAGTCACCTCTGTATGTTTGAGAAATATGCTTGAATGCTAGAATAATACATTTCTTTCTACATGGTGTACACATTTTCAAACGGATTGTATTTTTTTTATATATTTTAGTTTGAAGGATTGAAGTGAGGACCATAATTACAGAATAACCTGTTGAAGGGAACACTGCACTAGGAGATAAGAATTGTTTAGTTGTGGCATTGCTCCAGAATATCTCTGTCCATGGACAAGTCCTTTAACCTTTGAGTCTCAGCTTACAAATAGTAAAGCCAAAGGGATAGCTTATAGTATAAAATGTACTGTCCAGTTGTTAAATTTTTTCATTCTCAACATTGTCTATTCAGTATGCCTTGACCAAATGCTTAATATATGACAGGCACTTACATGTTTTAGCATTCTTTTTGGGTTGTGCCTTATTTGAAATAATTAAGTTGGTGATTGGAAAAGTTATTCCCATAGGTATCCTTTATTGATTTTTTTCTGTTGAAACTTGGAAATCTAGAAAAACTCATGGCAGAAAGGAGGATGGAGATTCCACAGAAGACAAAGGGTGGTTGACACTACAGGTTTGAACATGCACAAGACCCAAGGTAGTTGAATGTGAAGGGCATTATAAAAACACTAAGAAGGTTTTCTGTCAGTTCAAGCTGGGTCTTGCTTATCTTGACTTATTAATAAACCTTCGTTTGAAAATTTGTTCCCTAATACTTATTTTTCCCCAGAGAAATCTATAGCAATATCTTGTCACTTGGTCAAAGTTGTTAGTAATTTTAACTTTAATTTTAGTAAAGTTACTGAAAACCTCCAGTCTTTGAATTTGTTCAGATTACACATAGACAATTTATTAAAATGTCACTAGAATGTGTAGCGATTCTGGTTTAACTTTAAAAGTGTATTTATTTAATAATGTAAAATTATAAAGACCGACATGAACACAGGGAGCTTTTTATCCCTGAAATACTCACCTATGAGAACTGGCTTAATTTCATAAGGTCTAAATCTAAGCTCATTTAGAAATAATTAAAATTACAAGGTGATACTTTGATGATCTCAGATATTTATGCCTGGGGTACCTGATTCTGAGTGGTAATCTTTACTACTTTACTTCCTTAATCAAATCAGAGGAAGGGGGCAGTCATTAAAGAAAATAGCTCAAGTAGAGTCCTAAAAGAGTTTAAGCAAGAGGCCTCCCTGGTGGTGCAGGCAGTTGAGTGCAGCACTGTGAGGCTGTGGCAGCCTCTGCAGTGCCAGTTCAATCAGGGAGCAACCCACATGGCAGGGCAGACCGCTCCCCACATGGTGGGGCAGACCTCTTCTGTCTCACCTGCTGCCCCTCAGCAGTGTATTTCAGTCAGTCTGCCTGTTCTTTTCCCTGCTGTGTCTCTGGTGGATCCTCTCACCTTCCTGTGCATCTGGCTTGTACCCCAGTTCTTGTATTAAAAAAATAAATCTTTAAAAAAAAAGAGTTTAAGCAAGAGATGAAACAAGGTGTGGTTGCATGAAATTTATGGACCTTAGGGGAGGGAGATTGTAAGGCAACTAGGCAAAAGTTCATATCTCCGTATACTTTGGGTAGGAACTTTAAACCAGAATATGTTGTCTTCCATCTCAAATGTCACCAAAATTTTTGATGACAAAATTTTTTAAATTCAGCAGCTTCATTTATTATATCACGATTATCCAGTATGTATAAATTATATCAAAATCAAAAGACTTACTATATTTTCTCTTTCTAATGCCTACTGTGCTCCATATTTCAAAAATAGCAGTTTTATACCTTCATTATGACTCTGAATAATATATTACTTCATGATTTTGACCTTTGCATGTCCTAGCTAAGTACTACCTAGATAATCTCTTTACCTAGCTTTTCTTTTGCTGAGGCAGGTAGGAGGAGCTAGAGAAAGTAAAGATTAAGAGAGGTACCTTTATCTAAAATGTAGTAGACTTTAGAATTTGTGTAAGAAACTGAAGGAAAAGTACGGAATGCTAATGTGTATTAGTAAACTGTTGGTAATTGTGTTTAAAATTTAGAGATTTTTAAACAAATGTGATAAGAGAGCTTGAGTTATTAATATGTTTGTTTGAAATCCTTTGACCAAGTTTTGTTGTATTCATATTTAAGATCTGGATTGAAAGTCATTGGAGCTTTTGTGACTGATAAGATTTGAATTAAAATCCTGTGAGCTTGAACTAGTTATAGAAGAAAAGAAATAATTATTGATCATTTATTTATGTCAGGCCATAGTTTTTAGCAGTTCTCAAAAATAAATGTTATCTCTCTTTTACAAATGAAGAAATATAGACTCAGAGAATCTAAGTAACTTGCCAGGATCTGATGTATATAGATATAAAATTTTTTTCAAAATATTTCTGACTGGATTTTTTTCCTAATAGATGAGTCTTATTCCTAGAATCAGAATTTAAAAGAGCTGAATGTTACCTCTTCTGACTCAGAATTCTGGAGTTAAAAGAGACCATAGAAATTTATATAGTTAGGTTTTCCAAAGCAAGAGTCCCTTCTGCAACCATCACAAAATATTTAAGAAGTTAAGCTTATTTTCTCATTCCCAAAGTTTCAGAAGTGAACAGAACCAAAAAAAAAAAAAAAAATATGTGTCATTAATTTTAATTGTTCAGATTGAGACAATGAATTACTGGTAATTCTCAAGTGGTGATATCTTTAAGGAAAAACTAAGGGAAATGTTTCTGAGGTATATATATAGTCAGGAGAGCCACATTGAATGCTCCAGATAGAAAATAGTGGTAAAATGTCCTTCC